TCCAGAGGGGACTAGAAAACCCATTTGAGAGTTTCCTGCAGGGGAGTAACAAGATCAGATTTGCATTTTAGAAAGATCTTTCTGGAGAGAGAAAAAAACTGGAAATCCTTGGCTCAGAGGCAAGGAGACCAGGTGGGAGGCTGAGATGCCTGAACCAAAGTAATGGCAGCAGGTCAAACAGACGTGTTCAGGAGGCAGAATCCATAGGATTTGGCCGATGATTAGTGGTGGGGGATGAGAGAGAGAGGAGGTAATCAAGTGAGAGTCACGAAGACTGCTAGCAAACACCCCAGTTCTAGCTCCTTCCTGGTACGTGCATGACTCTATTGAAGTTACCGCTGGCCAGGTAACTTGTTCAGGCCAGTAAAAAGTGAGATGATTTCCAGATGAAAGCTTTAAAAACCAGTGTGCAATTCACCATGTCACAGTAACCAAGTGAAAGATGGTGGCTCTGTCAGCCTGGATCCCAGGGTAAAAGTGACCTAAAGCAAAGATTCCCTGACCCTTCCCCAAGTCAAGCTGAACCTGAAGCTGTGTCAACAAGTAAGCAAACCTCTACTTTTTAACTCACTGAGATTTAGGGGTTTTTACTACAGCATAATTTAACCTGTCCTGACCAGAGCTCTAAGAAATGCCCATCCTAGACATGTGTCCAGATGAGAACAATACTTAGAGGGGCACCTGGGTGGCTCAGTCGGTTAAGTGTCTGCCTTGGGCTCAGGTCATGATCCCAGGGTCCTGAATCGAGCCCCGCATCGGGCTCCCTGCTCTGCGGGAAGTCTGCTTCTCCCTCTCCCACTCCCCCTGCTTGTTTTCCCTCTCTCGCTGTGTCTCTGTCAAATGAATAAATAAATAATCTTAAAAAAAAAAAGAACAATACTTAGAAACACAAACAAACTATAAGTCTATAAATCTGTCTTCAAGGGCAGTAATAACTACAGGTACAAGATTACATTAAAAATGGGGGAGAGGGGAGCTTTAACTATTTCCCAGCAAAAAAATAGGTGCATTGGGCGCCTGGGTGGCTCAGTCATTGAGCGTCTGCCTTCGGCTCAGGTCATGATCCCAGGGTCCTGGGATCGAGTCCCACATCGGGCTCCCTGCTCAGCAAGAAGCCTGCTTCTCCCTTTCCCATTCCCCCTGCTTGTGTTCCTGCTCTCGCTATCTCTCTCTGTCAAATAAATAAATAAAATCTTTAAAAAAAAAAAAAGGCGCATTTTTTTTTAAAAAGGAAAAAATTTAAATATGTACTTGGGAAATTATATTTCTTATGATCTAATAATTGAGACTATAAAGTGTATGTACTTTTTTCTTATTTCAAAAACGTAGAGTGTCAGTTTGCTTATCCCTTTTTGGCACACATGGAAAAAGCAAAGAAATATGGTTAATAATAGACACAAAGCAAAGGAGAGCCCCTTTTCTTCTTCTATATATTAACCTTCACAATCATCTCCTGCGTCTAAAATGTAAATACCACTACCTGCACCACTAATAATAATTGCTAACAATGACTGAGAATTGACTATGTGCCAGGCAATACTTAAAGCCTTCCCTAGACTAGCTTATTTAACCCTCATAACTCAGCATGGGCTAATCAAGGACTACTTCCAAAGCCTATGACTCTCATGACCACTCTACCTCACTTCCTTTTTAAGGTAAGCTCAGATAAATTTCTTTAATCATGGGCATTAAGAAAATGAGTTTTCTTAATGGAATAGAGAAGGGGGGGAGGATCTTTTAAAAGACAGGAAGGGAAGAAAAAAAGAGAAATATGCGGAGAAAGTGAGCAGCTGTGGGCAGTCAGGGGGTATGAGGGTAGAGAGGCTGGAGGTAGAATGAAGTTCTAGAAGACGAAAGAGAGAGACTAAAACAAAAATCAGCCTAAACTAAGCTTTCTTTTCACCCACATACCCTGGGTGAATTCAGTAAACTGTTTTAGTTGAAAGAGCTAATAAGCAGATAGTTAAGAATAAAAAAAATAAACAAAATGTAACCGACTATGTTCACTGGCTCTACAACACACCCTGCTTATAGCTATGAGTAAAAAATTACAGTATGACACACCTCATCAGCCCATCCTGGTTTCAAACCTCAGCTCCCCACTTGGTAGGTGAGTGACCCTAAAAAAGTGTCTGGAGGGCTAAGCCTCTGTTTCTTCCTCGGTAAAATTATGCTAATAATCTCTCTTTAAGAGACCGTTTTCCTTTTTTTTCCCTTCTTTGCTCTTGACCCCACAGCACCAACTTCAGAGTTGCCTCTTGTCAGGTGTGGTTTCAACTACATAATTACCTTAAATTATGTCCAAGCACAAAGTATAAATTCTTATTCATGTATTTAGTATGTTAAAAAGCATTTTAAAAAACTGTCCTTTTATTTTAAAGATTTTATTCACTTATTTTAGAGAGAGAGGAGGGGGAGAGGGTGAGGGAGAGAGAATCAAGCAGACTCCCTGCTGAGTGCGGAATAGGACATGGGGCTCAAGCCCAGGACCCTGAGATCAGGACCTGAGCCAAAACCAAGAATTGAACACTTAACTGACTGAGCCACCCAGGCACTCCAAAACTGTCTTATTTTTAATTAACAAATATATAATGAATCCTCATTATATACTCCGGACTACAGTAGCTACTAAATATACTAATATGCAATGAAGCCATGGTTTGAGACCCTATCATAAAACCATAGTGCATAGTTTTACTTCACCAATTACTTAGTACCCAGGTGACCTTGGGTAATAACAATAGTAATGGCGGGCGCCTGGGTGGCTCAGCTGGTTAAGCGACTGCCTTCGGCTCAGGTCATGATCCTGGAGTCCCGGGATCGAGTCCCGCATCGGGCTCCCTGCTCGGCAGGGAGTCTGCTTCTCCCTCTGACCCTCCTCCCTCTCATGCTCTCTGTCTCTCATTCTCTCTCTCGCAAATAAATAAAAAAATAAAAAAACAAAAAAACAAAAACAAAAACAATAGTAATGGTGACAAAAAAGAACATGTGTTTGTTAAGCCAGACTCTACTGAATGTATTTGTCTTATGTTAATTGTCTCAATAATCCTATAAAGTAGGTACCACTTCTTTCCCCATTTTGCAAATAAGGAACTGACTACAGAGAAGATAAGCAACTTGATCAAGGTCAACAGATTCTATGCAGACAGTAGGACTCCAGGGCACTAGTCCTGTGCTCCAAGCTGTTAAACAAGTCTACACTATATGCATAAATACATTATGCAGGGCTGGCTTAAAGATGAGAAATAGTATTTGGAAAGAGCTTAGGGTAGTAAGCACACAGCAGGTGAACAAGAAAAGGCTCAAAGACACAAGCTATACTGGAGAACAAAGCCAACTAACAGAAGGAAACTATTCAGGCCCTTAGTCCCAACCCTCTTCCAAAGTCTTAGAACACGTGATCTATTTTACCCAAGGCTGGGTCAAAGTTCATGGTTATACTTAGTACTATAGGCTGTTGTAAAAGGGAAAAATTTAAGTTCAAAAAACATATCAAACCACCATAAACACCAAACTTTCTCTCTACAAAAAACCCTTATCTATTTCCATGCCTCCATGAGCCTCATTCTAGTCGTTGCTGCTGTTGATTAGAATCAACATGAGATTTGCAAAAGTCGTTTAAAAAGAAGAAAAAAATCTTAATTTCATCACAAAAATGGTAGGTTGGGTAGAATTTTTTTTTTTTTTAGATAAACTGCTAGTTTATTTAAATTGTTTAACCCGGTGGTCATAGTTTGTTAAAGTTATATATTGTTTTGAAAGCAATTCGTGGTGATAAAAATTATTCAAACTAATGAATCAGGAGATATTTGGGCTTTAAAACAATACCACACTCCTAAAAATACCAATATTTATCTTTTAGGAATCAGTGGTTAGAATTATTCTTAATTCAAAACAAAATGAGTTTCTAGGGACTAACAATAATTTATTTTTAAAACAATACAATGTATCAGAATCACTAACATAATATAAAATACATCTATCCCTATGGTTTTGAATGCTGTATCTCTTTACTTCCATACCACAGTTTTATTTAAGTCAAGCTGAAGGGCTGAGTTCCTGGGAAATCACTATATGAACTCTTTGTAGTTTACAATCATTGAATTTGGGAACTCAGTAATCTAGTTCAATCCCTTCACTTTAGAAAAGAGGAAAGCAAGGACACATAGGGTTAATGATGCGGTCCAAAGTTAGGAAGTTTGTAAAGACAGGATTCCTTTCTTCCGGGAAGATGGTCTCCTCACTAGCAGTATTTCTATTCCTCAGTCAATTGCACTGAGCTAGAGAAAACTAAATAGGATAAGCAGAACGTATGAATACAAGCAAAAAAGAGTGTAGAAGATGTGTATAAAGAAAAATATATGCTCACTAGGCAAAAGGTTATCTGTCCTATTTTGTTTTACCCCTACCGAGTGATTTCAAAATGCAGTTCCTCCAAAGAAAAATAAACAGGAGGATTTCCCCCTTTGCATCGTATTAAAGCAAATTATCTAATGAAGAAAAGGCCTATTACAAGTTTTAGGAGACTATAATATGGAGTCTGAAGCTACTCCCTCCGCTGTTTACCCAAACACTTCCTTCAGCCTCGTGTCCTTAAAAAGTTGAGTCAAAACCCTGGATGCATTTTGCAGGCAGGAGAGAAAGCTAGGAACGTGAAGCCTTCACTCCCTGACTGTTGCCAAAGCTGCGACAGAAATAAGATGACAAATGTTTAAAATTGACATTTTCATTCATCTCCCCTCCAAGTTAAAAGGACTTTTCATTTTTAACCATACTCATATGCCAAAAAAGAGTTCTTTCTCTACCAGGTCTGAGGCCCCGACTTAGATTTGTTTTATTTGTATGAGATTTCTCAGCGTGCGACGCAAAGTGATTCTAACTCCTGTTGTCAATGGCACTTCTCTGCTGGCATTTATCTGATGGAGCGCCCTCCAGGACCGTCACAAGACCGCTGGAAAACAGTCTTGGAAAGGGATGGGGGGCAGCGGGACACCACTTACCGAGAACACTGCATTCTGAAGCCCAAAAGGAATGGGGGTCAGTCTGGCCAGCGCCACCACTTTCAGGCCGCTTCCTCCCTCCACGACGCGAATAACGGCGCTCAGCTTCTCGCTGCTCTGGATCCTGGCGGCCACCCAGGTAGTGAGCAGCCGCTTGCAGACCACATGCGCGATGAAGGTGCCGATGAGGACGCCCACCACCATCAGTCCCATGCCCAGCACGAAGCCGTACAGGTAACCGGCGGCCACGTTGAGCACGATGTAGCCCCAGCCGCAGGGGAACGAAACCACGATGAAGCCCACGACGAACAGCAAGACCCCCAGCAGCGAGTCGAGGCTCTCCACCCAGAGCAGGAGGTGCTGCAGGTAGCGGCGGACCAGGGCCAGGGAAGCGAAGCACAGCGCGGCCAGCACGCACACCAGCACGAGGCTCCGGCACCAACAGGTGCTGCCGAGGCAGCAGCAGCGCCAGTTTCTCACCTCCGCCACGCCGACCACCACGCCGCCGCCGCTGCCGCCGCCGGGGCCGCCCGCCAAGGCCCCGCCCGGCGCCGGCAGCTCCGAGGCTGCTGGCGGACCGTGGCGCTCCAGATAGGCGCCGAGCAGGGCGCCCGAGGCAGCCGCCGCCGCCGCCGCCGCGCTCGCCCCGCCCCCGCGGGGGAGGCGATCGGCCGCGTCGTCCCCGCCCGCTGCCCGCGGCAGGACCCAGCGGGCCGGCAGCTCGGTTCGGCCCTGGAGGGCGGCGTGCTGCAGGAGCCGGGGTAGTGCCTGGAGCAGGCTGCCGCTGGGGCTCCACATGCCTCGGCCGGCGCGGGCCCTCAGCCGGCCAGCCCCTCCGCCGCGGCGCCTCTCAGGCAGCGGCCCTTCATGGCTCCCCGTACGCCCTGCCTGGACTCCCTGCGTCTGCTCGGGGAGCAGGAAAGGGCCCGGGGTAAGGGCAAGGTCTCAGCGGCGGAGGGACGGGTCCGACGGAGAGTGAGAAAACTCTGGACCCAGCACCGGCCGGGCCCGCCCCTTTTCGGCCAGAGGGGGCGGGGGCCTCGGCGTGGGGGCGGGGCCAGCATGCCGCTCGCGCTAGGCCCCGCCCCCCTGACGCACAGTCCGGCCAGCTGCAGGGATGGTGAGGAGGGGTTGCGGCGGCGGCCGCGGGGCTGGCCGGGGCTGGGGCTGCTGAGGGGAGTTGCTGGGAGGAGAGAAGGAGCCGAGGGGACGTGGACACCAGAGAGAGAAGGAAGTGGCAGTGAAGTAGAGTGCGGTGACGGGCTGGGGACCCGGCGCGCTCCCTGTCTCCCCTGGCGGGCGCGCGCGTGCCTGCGTGTCGGGGCACGCGCTCTTCTCCCCCGGACCGAGTCCCAGTCCGCAGGCTGCTTGGATCTTTGCCCATTGGTTGTTTCTGCAGTAACCTCTGATTCGAGCGAGCAGCTTTTGGGACGCTCACATCCACAGCTCCTTGCGCGACACTGGAGGAAGAAGAGTTCTTGATTTGCTCTGAGGAGAATTTGCGAATTGTTTACCTCCCCAGTCCCCATGTGGGTATCACGGATCCTTCAGGAGATGGAGTAATTAGATAGAAAGGCCCACCCTTGACAGAATGCCCCTTCTAGCCCCAGAGGTCCTTTACCAAGTGCCAGACACTTGGACTAGGGACTTCTCAAAAAGATTCACGAAAAGACATTTCTTAAGGATTCCCATTATCAAACGACTCCTCAAATTTTTTTGCTGTTTTTTTTTCCGCTTTTCGCCTTTTTAACTTTAATGTTCCCCGGGTCCTCTTTCCTTCTTCCTTTTTTAGAATTGGTTGAGCCATCTCATCCACGCCCATAACTTAGATCCCACCGTGTTTCCCTTGTTCTGATGACCCCCAATCCCGTCTTTCCCTTGTGCTTCAGCCTGTGGACACATGGGAGTGCAGTTCCTGTAGGCGCCTTAAACTTAGCATGGCTTGGTAGATAGCAACTTGGGCTCCAATGCAAAACATTTTATTAAGTGTGGAAGTGGTCATTAACTTCTGAATCTCAGGGTTTGCTTTTAAATAGCAAAATGAAGATAATAGTACAACTTAATGACATAAAGTGAGGATTGATAAAATACAGCTGACCCTTGATCAACAGTGGTTTGAACTGTGTGAGTCCACTTACACTCAGATTTTTTCAGTATACTACAGTTCTATAAATGTATTTTCTCTTATGATGTGCTTAATAACTTTTCTATAATTTATTTTATTATAAGAATATACTACATAATACATATACGAAATGTATTAACCAACTCTTCATTGGTAAGGCTTCCAGTCAACAGAATGCCCCTTCTAACCCCAGAGGTCCCAATGTTGCAAAGGGTTCAAGGTGAAAGAAGGACTCGCATTTAGCCGGTTTTACTTCCTCTCTAGAAGCTTCCAAAACTACCTTCCCATCAGCACCACACTCAATTTGATGTTTCCTTTCCATTTCTCCACTGTTTGCTACATAATTATTATCACATTTGTCCACTGTGTCCAAATTTTTAGTCTACATCACCGTCTCTGTCTTTAGACTGAATTTCTTCAAGATGGGCTCATTACTTAAGCACTAAGAAGGAGTAAGCACTTTATAAATGTTTGAGGAATGAATAAATTATCACAGTTTATAGGAAAAGATATTAAGGCAGACAAACCAGACAGGGCCAACACAATTGTCTGGGCAAGAATCCACGAAGGGCTGAAGTAGGGTAATGGTCATGGAGTTAGTAGGATGAGAATAAATTAGAGGGGAACATCTATAGGTTTGGAAACTAAATGAATGTTGGAAGAGAGGGAGGAGTCAAATATCTGGGTTTCTTATTTGATATTGTGGCTCAATTATGGGTCCACTAACCAAGAGAAAAAACACAGAAAGTTTCTGGGAAAGATAAAGGATTAGGTCTTGGTACTTGAGATTTGAAATACCTATGATTTAATCCAGTTGTGGCATTCCAGTAGGTAGTTGAAAATATGGATAAAGAGTGACAATGGGGCATTTCTTAGAAATTTTGAGATTTGTGTATAGGCAGCAGTTAAAGCCATGGTTATGGATGAGTGAATGGTGGTGAGTATATCAAATATTTTCTGTTCTCTTTCAGGTACAAGCAGGATTGCATTTCCTGGCTTCCTTGTAGTTGGGATGAGTCACATGACACATTCTGCCATGAATTGTGAGCATAGCATTTAATTGCTGATGCAAGACCTTCCAGAACTCTTTTTGCTCTTTGCCATGGCAATCAACAATGTTCCAGAGAGTATATGCTCTGTAAGTCTTGGTCTTAGAGGGAGGATGATGCAGAAAAGAGTCCCATTCACCTCATGATGGATATTTAAAAGTGAGTGAGAAGTCAACACTGGTTGTTTTAGGCAACTTAGATTTGAGGGGTTTATTTGTTACCAGAGCAGATCTTCATCTTTCTGACTGATGGAAATTAGAAGAGAAGAATGAAATCTTGAGAACACTAATATATTCATTAGACTATTTTGCATGTAAGAAAGAGACCCAGAGACCACCTCAATTAAAAGGGTGAAAGCAAAAGGGTTTATATGGATATATGAGTAGGTGTTAGGAACGAAGGCCCTTCTAGAAGCTGTTCTCTTATTTCTTTCCCATTGGCTCTCCATTTTTTCTCTACCTCTTTGATCTGTCCTCACACTACTCTTCTTATCCTCTCCCCTACGTTCCAGAGGAACACAGTCCAGTTGCAAGACCCCTTATCTCTGAGCCCCATCATTGGCTGCCAGCCAGTTGGTCGTCATGCTACTTGTATGTCAGGCACCCATCCTGACCCAAACAGTGCCACCCCTACACAAAACACCTCCCAGCTCTCCTGAACCTGGGAGCTCTGGTCAGGGCAATGCAGACTATAACATGATGTTTCCATCCTTGCCTGCTACGATTTATTTTTCACAGAACTGCTGAAGCTATGTTTTACAAATGGAAATTAGATATGTCTTAACTTACAAACACTCCAACCTGCCACCCCCACCTAAAACCTTTCTTTTGCATTAGCAAAAACACCCCAACTCCTTGCTAAGTCTACAAAGCCCTTTATGATCTAACTTCTGCCAACCAGTCCTGCCTCATCTCCTGCCACCCTCCCTCCAGCCACACCGGCCTCCTGTCTCTGCCTTGGATAGGCCAAACTGATTTCTACCTCAGCATGTCTGCACTCTGCCCTTGCTAATCTCTCTTGTTTGAATACTCTTCCCCTAGCTTTTAGAAAATTTATTATCCCTTCCTTCCTTTTTATTTATTTTAAGTTTTACTGTGATCTCAGAGTCTACATTAGAGTAATGGTACTCCTTTTTTTCATTTGTATCTATGATCTGAAATGTGTATAGTTATTGCTTTACTGTCTTCCCTAAGGAGTCTTGGGATCCTCTGTAGTCCCTAGAATAGTTCCTGGCACATTAAATATTTTTAAGTGAATAAAGGGGGGTGGTAGGTAGTGTGCTTGTGACTGGCTGTTTCCTGCTAGTCCTCCATCTGGGTTCATTCTCTGCTTTTCCCTGCCTTGCTGTGTGTCTCAGGAGGCTGAGCTCTAGAGTTTGCATTACCCAGCCTCCTCCATGCTCTGGCTTTCCAGTTAGGTTTGACCAATGAAAGGCAGCAGAAGAAGATGGAAGATAGTAGGAGTAAGAAGTGGACAGGGTGTTTACCTCTGCCTAACCCAGTTTCACTGTGTTTTTGGCAGTAACTGAATTCTTCCATGATCAAAGTTCCTTTATCAAGTTTCCAGCTCCATCCTGGCTCTAGTAATGGCTTCCTGATGCTACACCATCCTTGTAATACTCCCTTGATTAGACTCTCTTTACTATGGTTTCTGTTGCCTACTGGGACCCTGACTGATAGCTGAAAAGGATAAAGGCTGATTAGTTCAGTACTACTAACACCCGAGTTCACACAGCTTACCCAAGGCTACGCAGAGAAAGTGATGGAACCAGGTTTTAAAATCAAAGTTCAGGTGTTATGAAAGATCAGGAGAAATTATTATCCAAGGAAGAGAGAATATTAAGAAGGAAGGAAAGGATAGCAGTGCCCAATGTTGCAAAGGGTTCAAGGTGAAAGAAGGACCAGTAAGTGTCCTTTAGATAATCTGTTTTAAAAGTAGCCACTACGGGGGCACCTGGGTGGCTCAGTCAGTTATGCATCTGACTCTTGGTTTCGGCTCAGGACATGATCTCAGGGTCTTGGGATCGAGTCTCGCTTCCGGCTCCCCACTCAGTGTGGAGTCTGCTTGTCTCTCTCTCTCTCTCTCTCTCTCTCTCGGCTCCATCTCCCCCCACACACACTGTCTCTCCCTCTTCCCCCCCATCCTCCCCACCGCCTTTCTCTCAAATAAATAAAATCTTAAAAAAAAAAAAGTAGCCACTACAGCATTAGGGAAAGTACTTTCAATGAAAGGCAAATTGTAGAGGTGTGAGAGTAAATGAAAGGTGAGTATAGCAGAGTTTAAATGGCTTTTTTGATGATCCTGAACAGAAAGAAAGGAAGAAAAGGGTGACAGCTAGGAGGTAATGCCAGGTGAGGAAGATGGGGAGATTGTGTGATGTTCCAGCGTGTTCATAAATTGAGATAAGGAAGCCTGGGGAGAGAAAAGGATTGAGAAACAGAAAGGAGAAAAGAAGTGATGAAGCCAGGTTCCCAATGAGGTGAGGAGGGTGGGATTAAGATCTGGGGAAAGGATTAGCTGCCGGGAGGCAATGCTTTCTCTGAGGTTTAAAGAAATGACTAGGAATGAATGCAAATTTGCCAGTGCTGATTTCTAATTGTAATGGAGTCTGTCGTTGGGGGTTTATTTGGAGAATGCAGATAGTTTTTCTCTCCCCTTTGATAGCCTAGGACATGATTTACATGAATTTCCCTGATCACAAATAATTTCCCTGATTTATCTTCTCAGCTCTTTAGGTGTCAGTCATACACTGGGTACATTTTTCCAGCCTCTTTGTTTTAGACTTGCCACTGTGCTTGTCATTTGAATTCCTTACTTTGTTAGTATCTGTGAGGAGAGGGAAGGAGGTAGAAGAGGGAATCCAATCAAGCATTATTAATTACATTTAAAAGCAAAATGGTAAGATGCTATTAAAAACTAATTCAATGGGGGGCGCCTGGGTGGCTCAGTTGGTTAAGCAACTGCCTTCAGCTCAGGTCATGATCCTGGGGTCCCGGGATCAAGTCCCGCATCGGGCTCCCTGCTCGGCGGGGAGTCTGCTTCTCCCTCTGACCCTCCTTCCTCTCATGCTCTCTGTCTCTCATTCTCTCTCTCTCAAATAAATAAATAAAATCTTTAAAAAAAAAAAAGGCATTAAAAACTAATTCAATGGTAAATTACTCTGCAAACTCTAAATTATTTTATAATTATGGATTTCACAATATTTCACAATATTACCTTCACTTAAATTTAAGGACATCCATAATGATAAGTACATTTTGCTATGTGGGTATTGAAATTAGTAGTTAAAATTAATTTGCTGAGATTTATTATTCATGCAAATTGTTTCTCATGCACAATTATGAGTCTTTGCATGAGTGTAAGCAGTGCATCAAATACTGGAATCAGAATAGTGCTCTTCTTCAAGAAGCTCTCCAGCTAGCAAGGCAGATACTTTGAACACTACTTTTGGAAGCACTTCACAGAAGACAAGTGCCTTATTTTTTTCAGATTTGCTTGAGATATATAATTTAAATGAGTGTCTGGACCCTCTGTGAAGTTGTTATATCAGTGTTAACAACTAATTTTTTCTAATGCTACATATTTAACTTATTTGTTCAACAGGAGCATAGTGGGGATATATACTTTGCTAGCTGCCTTGAGACTATAAAGATGAAGGAAATTCATTTCCTGCCTTCAGAAAGTATGGTCTAATTGTGAAGAAGGGAACATTAACTCAATTACAAAGCATGCGTAATGGGTGCATCAGAGTGGTATCAAGGGGTTTGGGATGGCAAGGGCAAGGTAGATGATTCCTGATGGCTGGCCATTTCCCACAAATGTTCTTCATTCTGTTCCTGGGTTTCCTTAATTCCAGGAGCTAATTGTGAATATAACCAGTCTTCTTCTATAACTCCCTCTGTCCGTCATTATGGTTGTGATGGGAAATGCTATAATTTCCTCCAGCCTTGATCTGCCATCATTTTGCTCACGCACCTGTCCATCCTTTACCAAGTACACATTTTCCTGAAGAGTTTATCTCCAGCCTCCCTCTCCTCTTACAATGCTCTTCAGTACATATTTGACCCAGAAGGAGTGAGTCTTGATGAAGGTGGCAGGTAAAAATTAGCAGAAAAGGGGGAAGCACCCACTCATATCAGCTAAGTAATTGTTTAGCTAATTACCACTCACAGTACGAAAATTACAGGCTGATGCTACAGTTATAACTTCCAGTCCAGAACAATCAGAAGATTTGGTGTTTCTAATTTCAAGTATTTTCAATTCTGTGAAAACAGTATATCAAGGTTCAGTTAGAAAACTGTTGTTATTCACAATAGTGGGGGGAAATGCCAAGCCTTGCAGTTATTGTAATTCTGTTACTGTACAAGTAGATGGACACACAAAGTATTGCTCAGTCTAGCCACCACATTAATAAACACTATATAGGATATTAAGGAGACAAATGAGTATAAAATATTATGTTTAAAGTTTTGTTTAGGAAGTAAGGAAAAGGAAAATTCAGAATATCTGACTGCCACTGAGCCTTATTTCCCAGTATAGAAAATAGGATCAGAGACTGATATTGATTATTTCTGTAGACTGAATCTATTATTTTTAGGCACACAGATGCAGAATTTTATGATTTCTAACATTTATTAAATACTTGTGGCTTTTCAACTGTTCTCATAAGTAAAGATTATAAAGAAAATATGATCAGAGAATATTTTTTGAATTTGGATTTGTATCAAGATCATTTGTTTCATCTATTAAATATGAGTTCAGGAGGAAGGGCATACTCTGCTGATCTCCAGGCATAAAGTGACCCATCTGGCTGAATCTGGCTGATTTTCTTTTGCCTCATCTCTTCATGTCATTCTCCCTCAAATCTATCCTCCCATTTGAAGAGGAAGAAGAGAGCAATCTCCCTTGGAAGAGGAGGATTCATCTTCAGCTAAAAGAAAGGAATTAAAAAAAAAGGAGTAGCCAGTAGCCAGGCTTGCTTGTTAAACCACCAAATAAGGTCTTATTCAGTAATTACTTATTGGGAACATCTATGATTCCAGCATTTTAAAGGGCACACTGAGGGTGAGACTCTGCCCTTACAGGTCCATCTTGTGGTGAGAGGCATAAGCAATTGTAGCGTGGAGTGTTAGGTCCAAGGGCGGCCCAGAGGAAGGAGT